GAGAACGTGGGTGTCAGAGAGCTGAGATGAACGTGCAGGGTACGTGTTGGCAGGCATTGATTGTGGAAGATTTGGGACCCACACACTGTGTGCACTCGAGTTTGAACCTTCCTGTCCTGTGAGTGCCTGAACATGTGCATCACAGAGTGTCTGAGATGATGCTGGTGCTATGGGGCACTTGGAGTCTAGATGCCTCTGCATCTCTCCTCAACTGGGAGCTGAGGAAAGGAGGAAGATTGTGTCAGTCCTTGGAGGGAGAGAGGGCCCTAGAGGAAAATTACTGAAGTTATCAATATGCCCCATTGAGACAGATTTCCTGATGAATTCTTTAGGGAGACAATTGCCAACAGCTAAGATTTAACTCAATGAAGCAATGAACCTCTAAAGGAACTACTAACACAAGAAGCACAAATCTCCACACTGGGATCACCCATCACTCCAACCCCAGCTGGTGTCACACTGTATTAGAGATCTGCAGGCAGCAGTCCAAAGACGGAATAACAAAATTTACACAATGGAGTATTACACTGTCATAAAGGATAAACTCGAGTCCTTTGTAGGAAAATGGATGCACCTTGAGACCATAATGTTAAGTGAAAGAAATCACATGCACAAGCTTAAATATCACATAGTTTCTCTTATATGAAAAAGCTAAAGTATAAATGAATTAAAGAGCAAAATAGAAGACAAATAATAGGAAACAGGCAGATAGATCTTTCTCCAATGGGGCGGGGGCCGAAAGACAGAGGGAGGGGATTTAAATTAAGGTGCATTATATACATGTACCAACTCCCCTGACCAATGCATTGGATATAATGATATGCTGCACACACTTTCTAATAAGAATAGAAACTAAGATAAAACTGAAATGAACTATACCTAACATGAAGATGAAAATAATATTTCAGTATATGTAAAGTAAACTATATACTATGATAAATGTATGCAACACAAAGATCCCTCTTTGTTAATATTAAATATTACTAAGAGGAATAGTTTGGTAAATTTCAAAAGTTTTAATAGGATCCTAATATTTTGATTAATAATTGCAATTTATTTTAGCACTTTGACCTAATTTTGTTTTAAATTTTAAGTAGTTGTCCCCATACAAAGTTAGCTTTATTGTTCCCCCTTGAAACTTGTGTAAATAGGATGATCTCAAAGGTTTTACTTATCTGAGCTAAACAGGAATCACCAGTACTTCTAACACTAGTGTTGAGTTCTAATTATTGCTCTAATTGGGCTTTTCTTGTCATTTCAATCTCTCATATTCTCTGTTTTAAGTGAAGCTCTGGAAATTGTGCTGTTATGTAATTATCAGCTGGCATTTAATATTTTTTAATTTTTTATTTTATTTTTATCTTTTAAGACAAGGTCTCACTTTATAAGTCAGGCTGGCCTTGAACTCACTATGCAGCCCAGGCTGATCTCAAACTCTCAGAGATCCTCCTGCCTTAGCCTCTTGAGTGCTGGGATTGCAGGTATGCACCACCACACCTGGCTGGAATTTAGTATTTATTAAAAATGAGATGAAATGCTTTAGGAAGCAGTTTAAAAAGGGTAGTTCAGGTACAGTGTCCTAAACCCTGTGGACATCATTCTCCATCTCATTTCTTTTTTCAGATTCACCAAATGGCCCTTTCACTATATACCCAAAGGCTTTGGAATGATAATAGAAAGTATCTTATCATAAACTCTAAGAATATTGAAGAATAAAACCTACATATTTCTCATTATTAATTATTTCAATTCATACAATGTTCATGTTACCATACACCCAATAGATTTTTTTATTAAGTTTATTTATTGGTACATTTTAGGTATACAATATAGTTACATTTATCATTGGGATCTTGTACCTTTACATGATATACTTCGGTTCTTATTTTTTCCCCATTTTTCAGCCCTCCCTTCACCCCCTCCACCCTTCCTTATATTCCATTTTTTTCCTTTTCTCATATTTTTCTTTGCCCTTCTTTCCTTTCCCCTATCCCTCCCATTTCCCCTATTCCTTTAGACATTTTCTTCCTATTTCACAATATCAATTATACATTTTGATCCTTATTTACACTTTTAGTTTTTCACACCAGAGAAACTATTTAGTATTTACACATGTGTCCTATTTATTTCACTTAAGAGTATGGCCTCAATGTGCATCCATTTAGCTATAAATGTCTCTAGTTTCTCATTCTTTATGGCTGAGTAGTACTCCATTTTATAAAAAAACCGCATCTTCTTTATCCAGTCTCCAGTTGATGGGCAATTGGGCTGTTTCCAAATTTTAGCTATAAGAAGGAGCTTTTTCCTAATTTTAGGATCACTGAAATCATATGTGCTTTTAAAATATCCTGGAAAACTCAAGATGGTTTTCACAATATATCATTTCCGCTAAGTAGGGAGGATGCTGAAAAAAAATCTGCTAGTTTATGTTCATACAAACACACAGAAACTGTGGTAAATATAATTACAGTGTATGCTGAGTTTAGAGTAAAAATGTTTAGTAGGCCATTTGCAAAGTACCCAATTTTCCCAATTTAGTGACAGACCTCACAAAAAAGGAACAATGACACATTATACTGAGAGGGAAGAGCTCTGCTTTTTTGTTTTCTAAACAAGCATCTTTACACATAATCCATGCTAGAGCAAGGCCAAAGGCTGAAAGGAAAGCCCACCAGGAGAAGTGTCCTGCAGGGTGGTGTCCATGAGGCTCAGCTGGCCCGCAGCCCGAGGGGACACCCTGAGCATCCCTCATCCCCAGCGGGTTGAGGGGAGCCCAAGTCAGGGAGCTCACAAGTAAGCCCTGTGGGCCACAGTGGGCTAGGTGGGCCCGGGTCATACCTTTGCAGGTGCAGGCCACCTTTCCCAGGATGATGGGAAGATGGGATGATGGCTGGGCTGGGGTAGCACCTCAGGGTGCTTGCGCTGGTTCCTCCCACACCCGAGTCCCTTGGCCACAGCAAAAAGACCAGCACCCATTTCTGCCAAGGCTGGCTGCATCTGTGTTGGAAGAATCCTCTCCCCTGGGACTCAGAGCTCCAGCTGACAAGGGCTCCTTCCTGACTACCCCACACTCCTCCCTTCCTGAGCCAGGTGGAGGACAAATCCAAGTGCCACCCAGCCTCTCTCACCCTCATCTCCGATGCCCTGGATGAAAAACAGAGCATTTTCTAGGTATCTAAAAACTGCAAAAAGTTTGTACTCACGTCAAGTTCCAGAAGCCATCATGACTTGCATTTTATTGCATTCTGAAAAATTGTCTAGGACTCATAAATTACATTTAATGCTCACTATATACAAAGCTTTCCTGCAGCAGAAAACCAACAGCAAAGTGCACTTGGGGCTCATTTTCTGCCATCTGAATACTGATAACGCTGTGTTATCACCTTTACCCATCTGTCTGTACAAACAGAATTGTCAAGTAGGAGACAAAGTAGACTTGTCAGAAGACAGTGAAACTATCCATATTTCAAGCTATTACTTTCGTACTTGCTTTGCAATTACAATGGAGACATTTTTGTCAAATGTCCTCAGACTCCAGTTTGACAAATGGCATTTCACTCTATGTGCGTCTCTCAGACATTTTTTACCTTTTCCCTTGTTCTAAAATATGTCGCTCATAAAAAAAACCTGTCACTCATAAAGGAGAATGCCAACAGAAAAACACGTCACACTAAGTCAGAAAGTCTCCAATTCTGAGCTAGTTGAAATATATAAGGCTTCACATAAACCTGATCACCACACTCTCATCAACAGCTTTGTTACAAATCTTCTAGGTTATTTTATGCTAAAAGTTTGAAGATCACATTATTCAATCCAACTATGTCTTTCTTCGCGTCTTCCGTCTTTCTTTCTCCCTCCCAACAAGGCAATTAAGCAAAATTATAAATCTAATTATCAAGCATTAGTAGAAAGGAACATCATTTATTTCACTCTGAAAACTTGATGCAATGAAGGCTAAATTTCCACATTAAGCAAGCTTCCTTTTAAAAGTCGGTCAAGTAATAAAAAAATAGAATAAAATACAGAAATTAAGCGAATGACTTAAGATTCTGCAAGACATAATTGTACCATTCCAAAATCTACGTGGGATCAGTTCCTTTTCTTTCTTTTTCCTTTTATTTTCCATTCCTGTCTGTTTTCTTTTTTGTGATACTGGGGATCAGTCAAACCCAGAGGCACACTGTCACTGACGTACATCCCCATCATTTTTTATTTTTTATTTTGAGACATAATCTTGCTAAGTTGCCCAGGCTGGCCTGGAACTTGTGATCCTGTTGTTTTATGGTTTGGGTCTAAATGTTCCCCCAAAGCCTCATATGGTCATAGGTGGCTTTTTCAGAGGCAGCTGAATCTAGAGTGTGTGATGCTGGGATTAAGGGCTTGTGACTACTAAACCAGTCCACTGCTTGGTTTGGCACCGCCCTAGTCCCAGTAGTCTGGATAAGATAAAAGGGAAAGAAAGATGCTGTTAGGGTTGCTTTTGCTATGGTGTGGGTGTCATGAACTATTTCTCCTCTGTGATGCCCCTCTGCCATGTGCCACTCTGCCTTGGAGCCAGCGGATTATGGGCTAAAACATCTATAGACTCTGAGCTAAATAAACCATTTCTCCTTTAACTTTAGGTGTCAGGTATTTTGTCTCAGCAATGAGAGAAAAGTAACTAACACATCCTGCCTCAAATTCCAGGGTAGCTGGTGTTACAAGTGTGCACCACCATGCTAAAACCTTTCTTTATATTCTCTGGGACAGTTTTAGAACAAGCCCGCCACAATAGCCATGTTGTAATAGGCAAGCTCTCTCCTGCTGTCATTATCTGGAATGACTGAACCTGGGAAAGTCATTAGCCTAAATCTCTGCACCAATGTGGGCTTCTTCATCCATTCCTCCTGGTCAATAGTTTATTCTTATTCAATGCACGTTCTGACTTCACACCAAAGCAAGAACCCTCTTGCCCTGTGTGAACTCATGCTATGATTAACATCATGAAAAAATCCACGTACCCAGCACAAAGTCCCTTCTGAGTCTGCCGCTCTAGTTGGACCTTTCACCACCATGGCTGGCGAGGAGTATTTCATCTCTCCTGTGGCTGTCAGAATTCCATCACAGTAGACACGGACATTGACTGGCCCAGGAGGAAAATCTTATGAAACACAAATAAGAGTTAGGAGCTCAGTATGCAAGGCGCACATGATATCTTTTCGAAAATACAAGGAATTCATAATGATTTTACTAACTTCTAGCATTTACAATGTTTTTTTTTATTCTAGATGTTTAGAAACCACAGAGTAGACCATGTAATTTTGGATTTCACTGTTTTTTAAAAGTAAAAACTTAAAACACATGTTAAAAATGTAGTAAAAGCAAAGCACTAAACCTTTTCTCCTACTTAGCAGCATCCTTTATTTTTCTGTGATCTATAATCATATTTAATTAATTCTTTAGAATTTAGAAAAGGGCAGTCATTCCTTAAAATCTAGGCACTTATCCGTTTAATAAAGAAAATTCTAATTAGTAACAGGCAAATGTCTCAAAATTGCTTTTGGTAGGAGGAAAGCTGATTGCAGTTCCAGAGGTTGCAGTTTCTTGATGAGAGCTAAAGCCCTGGGAGAGGAAGTTTGAATCTTCTGATACTTCAGCAGGCTTCTTATGTAGACCACACACCTGCGTAAAGCTCTGTGTAAACAAATTCTCCAAGCAACTGATACAGTGGACCCTTAACTTATGAACTCAATTTGTTCTTAAGGGCTGGTTGTCATTCAAGTTGGTCAATTGCCTTCAAAGTCTCTTTCCTGTATAATTTTAGGCCACATTTTCTTCCAGGCAGATCTCAGTGTTCTTAGAGAGACATTGGCCCAGGATTTCTCAATTAACCCCACACAGGAAAGGATGCTGTAATGTTCCTTCCAGAACTCTTTAAGAGTTAAATCTGTATCTGAGACAATCTGGAAGCACAAGTGGTTGGCATTTGGGTCATAACTCAAGACTTTGGTAGTAAGTTAAAACTAAAATTCTGATCCTAACCCAAGCTGTTTGCATGTTAGGCCAGTTGTAACTCAAGGGTCCACTGTAGCTATCTTGTGAATTCTGCTGTGAGAGTTAAAGGTACATAAAAATGTGGGGTTTTCCATGAAAGAATAACAACATACAACCATTTCAATAGAAGAGTCATGTTTTAGTGTCACAAAAGCAAACGAAGCTCAGCTCTTTAAATTTGTTTGTAAGATAAACCTTAAAATCTTCTACTCTGTGATGGCGATACTTTCCAAATTCTTGAAAACTATCACTAACATATCTGAAGTTTGGAAGAAACCATTCAACCAATGACCATGAACAGACTTGAATATTTAAAATTTCTTAAGCACTAAGCACTGATTTTACTTTATCTCATGAAGAAGTTCACAGAACTCTTATGATTCTATTCAGCAAAATTTAAAGTCAACAAAACCAATGTTAAGCTTAACTAGTTGAAGGAGCAAAAGTTTCCTCCTCCAATATTCTCACTGGATATATAACTTATAGAAAGGATGTATGTAGAAAAGTAGAAGCACTGTCTTGAATAAGAAGTGTCCATCCAATAATCAGAGGAGCCCACCAAAAGCTGAAAGTGTAAATCACGGGGCACGAGCTATAGCAGTATGAGCATGGGGGAGAGAGGTGTAGACTCACTCCAGCCAACAAACCAGATTTCAGAAGGGTGATTTTTTTTCTATTTAATTTTACATTTTATTACAGCAAGTTATAAAATGATTTTGATAGAAGATTTTGAATTTGGTTTTTGGGAAAAAAATCAGTTACTAGTTTTATCATGGGGAGTATAACCTGAAGGAAGTAAGGCAATGAATCTTGAGAGACACACATGGAAAAGGATTGCTCAGCTCTTCGTTGGTTTGCATACTTAAAACATTCTAACTTCTTTCCAATATAACATAATTTAATTCTGATATATAAACTCAAAACTTTTCCAGTGGATCTACTGATAATGACTTTTTTTTTTTGAGTAATCCTCCAAAGAGCTTCCCTGTGACATGTCATATGCTGTAAGTGTTTTCATATCTGCTGAGTGGAAGTAATTAATCAAGACCTAATCACTGTTCTGACCTGCATGTAAGAGGGACTTGCTTATGGAGTCATTTGATCCAAGACCCTCCTTAGTGATATAAATTAAATTGGCCCCTTCATGAACACATGATCATGAACTGCTAGGCACAGTAATACTTTAACATGGGCTCGCTATGGTGGCAACCTTTTGCAGCTTTTCAATAAAAAGAGAAACCAACTAATTTAAAGACACAAATAGGATATAGCAAAAGTAAATTCTGCTGTTCACCATCAGTCCAAGGTAGGCAATAACATCTAACACAGGAAGCCCACATGGTACAGGTAAGGCAAACCAAGCAAGGGAGTGAGTCAGCAGTGAAGAGGAAAAAGTGCAGAGTGGAAGGAAATCCTGAAGCAACTTGATATAAAAGGCTACAGACACTACAGAGATGCAATGATAAAAGAGTACCACTTAAAGTTCAAGTCTCAAACTCCAGGCCATTCCAACGAATTTGTCCTTTTGAAAACGTTTTTATTAGTCCATGTTCACAGTACATCATGTTTACACTCCTTGTGTGGAGGTGGCACATGTACGCAGCATGTCTCGGTTCCTTCTCTCACCCCCTTTCCCTCCCTCCCTCCTCCTTCCAACTCTTGACCCCTTCCCATTTGAAAAGGTTCATCTCCCTCCTTCCTGTCACCTTTTATTTTGCTCTCTATTTATAATTTGGGTTTCTCATATAAGAGAAACTATGTGATTTAAGCTTGTGTGTCTGATTTATTTCACTCAACATTGTGGTCTCAAGGTGCATCCATTTTCCTCCAAATGACTCAAGTTTCTCCGTCTTTATGGATGAAGTCTTTGTCTTTTTAAGAAATTATTATTCTAAGATTTTCATGTCTGGGCCAAACATGGTAAATAAATCAGCATGCTTTGCTCTTTCATTTATGCTATTTGTGTAGTAAGTTATGGCCCACAGAAGTCTTTGTCAATGTTCTTGTTCTCCACCATTTGACTGGTTTGCCCTTTACTGAAGTGGTTTATGGAAAACAGAATCCAAGGATAGTGCTGAATAGCAAGAATATTTCACTAATTCCATAAAAGTAGATATTTCACACATCTATCAGTGTAAGGGCACTTTTGCTTGTGTATTCCTGTTCCTTGATATGCTGCATTCCTTTATGAAGGAATTTTAATGTGACAAACATTAAACAAATGGAGTGGTGAGATCAGACACCAACATGGCCCTATGTGGACTAGAGCATTATGAATAAATATAGGTGGCTTCAGAACCTTGGTTGTGCCTAAAAATTAACCTCAGTTTAAAATATATCAAAGTTGTTTTCTTGAATTATGATACCTAGACATCATAAATTGATTATAAAAATCTCTTTTTTTCTTGAAGGAAGTTTGGCATGACATTTGACATGAAGTATTTTTCATGTTCTTTTTTAAAGTATGGATTATCTAGACCAGTTTCTTAGTTAATACGGAGACATTATTTTTGTGGGTGCATTATGCATTCCTTTCAGCTTTTAATGAGCCGTTCCCCTACTCTGTTAAGTATGTCTGGCTGTGCTACATGAATACCCTCTTCCCTCTGCATAGAATTAGTTGGTATTTCTAGCCAAGAGCCTCCTGATATGCTTTTATAGGTTGAGATGCAAGCTGGAAGCACAGTAACTTGCAGTTGCTTTAGCCCAAAGTCCTCACGGAGGTGAGCTTGCCAGCATGATCAGTGCAATCGGTGATTGTGATGCGTGAACTTGCCATGGGTAAGAACCACTAGCAGATTAGTAAGGCTCTGGGTGTGTCTGTGGATGATTGACAGGTAGGCCTCAATGAGGGGTGGGGAAGTCCCAGCCTGGGCATGGGTGGCACCAACCAATAGGCTTGTAGCCTGGATGGAATGCAAATGGGAAAGGAGAAGGAAGGTCACACATTTGTGAGGAGCTCCCGCCTTCTTGAGTGAGTGCGTCCTTTGGGGCCCTCGCCCTTTGCTCACTGGTCTCTAGGGGTCTCCAGTTCCTCCCGGCTTTTCAAGGCAGACTCACCCTGGTAGCTCTCCTGGGAGCTTCTAGGCCTGCAACCCCGGGTCCCTCCTGTTCTTCAGCTCTCTAGGGCGCAAACAGCCACTGTGGATTGTTTCGCTCCGATCCCACGGACGGCCCCTGAGAACTCTTCCGCCTGGACCCTGTAAGCCTATCTAATGAATCCCCTTGCATAGACATATATTTTCTGTTGATTCTGCCCCCCTAGAAAACCCTAATATAGTCAAGAGTATCCATGTATTTCTTGTGCTTTTTTCATTCTTTTTGTATTGCAAAAACATATATCATATTTTTTTTAATTGTTGCATATCACTTTGATGTTCTATCCTACTTTAAAATTCTGTTTTCTTTTTGCCTTAAATTTGGGAAATTTGCATTGATCTATCTTTACGTTCAGTGGCTCTATTCTCCCCAGTGTCCAGTCTGTGAATGAGGCCCTCAAGTGACCTTTCATTCCTGACGCAGTGCCTTGGACTTCTGGCACTCCTCTTTGGTTCTTTCTCAGAATTTTTCTCTGTTTACACTATCCGTATGTCCTTGTATGCTGTTCGCTTTTTTTTTTTTTGCACGAGAATCTTTAACACCTTAATCAGAGTTATCGGAAATTTCATGTCTGATAATTTCAACATCTACACTACACCTAAGTCTGAGTACACCCTGGCCCTTGCTTTGTTTCTTTACATTGTTTTATTTTGGTGGGGTTTTTTTGTATGCCTTGTAATTTTTTGCTTGAAAGCCAGACATGTATCAGGTATAAGAACTGAAGCAAATCATCTTGTTCTGAACAAATGTATAATTCTGACTCAGAGTTGTGCTGTATTTAACGTTTGCTGCAACTGCAGGTGCCGAAGGTTCCCCATTCCTCTGTTGTCCTGGTCTCCTCTCCCTCTGGAGTCTGTACTGTCCTCAGCATTCCTGAGTTTTGAAGCTCTTCAAGCTGCAGTGCTTTGTCACTACACGGGCACAGTGGTACGGTGGTAGCACGGGTGATTGGGATGGGAGGCATCAGTGTTTTGTATCTCATGGCAGTGACATCTCAAGTGTCTCCGCTGTGGCGTAGCTTCCGGCCTCCCCCTTGAGTGGGACAGGAGACTGCTGTGCGTGGTGACTTCCTTGGCTGGGCAGAGCTCTGGGGAAGTGTTTCCCTTGGTCTTTGTTTGTAGAATTTGCTGGATTTCACTGTGATTGCCCCTCCTCTGACCCAGCCACCCTGCGAGGATCTCTTGTGACACTTTCACAAAGTGAACTGAGTGGGGTTTTTTGAGGTAAGTCCTGATCAAGTGAGGGGGCCTCCTAAAACTACAGCCCCAGGAGTTTCTAACTGCAAAATTCATCCACCCAGAGCTTCCAGCAATTTAACAAAATTAATGCTTAATTGCTTCTCCCGGAGTAAGGGTCCAGTGACTTCTACTCCAGGAAAGCAGAGCTCGGCCATTAATCTCGTAATTTACTTTTCTGTCCATATTTTTGCACTGTGATTTGCTCTTGTTGGGGTTCAGATCTCAATAACCCCAAAGACAAAGCCTTCACATGCTGAGTACTTTGAACTGAAGGAAGTTGGAAGGGCCCAGAACCAAGCCTTTCTGACCTTTTCCATCCTCTCACCTCCTCCCCTCATTCCCTCCATCGAGTGGATTGAGCAATTGGAACCCCTAAGCCACAAAGCCTGGGAGGCCACACTGCCCTTCTCCCTGGGTCTCCTCCCCATTCCCAGGAAGTGAGAGTGCTGCATAGAAAGGCCTTCCTCATCTAAAGTCATGGGACTTTAGACTTTGTCCAGTCAGTCTTATACACTGTCCATTCTTCACTGAGCATAAGAATAAAGATCACTTTCTCTGAGTCTTTGGGTCTTCTATTTGAAGAATTCCATGTGATGGAAACTTTGATTAAATAAGCCTTCTTGCTTCTTTCCCCCTGTTATCCTGTGTTTTGCTATAGAGGTGTTGACCGTGCCCTTATGATGGGTGAGGAGAAATGGTGACTTCCACCCATGCCCACTGCAACCTCACTTCTCTTATGGGTTCGAGAGAAGTAGCCAATTTTTAGTTTGTTCAGCTGTTTCTTCTAAGAATGGGAATGACAACTTCTAAGCTCTTTGCCTAGTGAGGCTGAAATAATTAGTCTAGTATTGGTTTTAAACCTTTGCTTTCATTATATAGCTGTGAGTGACTGTGTTATGACCTAAAATGCAGTTCTTACTACGCAGAGTTCAAAACATTTCAAACATCAGTTCCATAGATGGCAAAAGTGGCCCTCTCTTGTCATTTCTACTGGGCATTTTCCATCCATATTCCCACATGGGTTCCTATAACCATCTGTTACATTGCTACAGGAAACCAAGAGTTTGGAAGGTAATGTCTCATTAACTTACACAACACAACAACTGGAAGAATGACTTGTAGAAGTTTAACTAGTGTAGCTAGTAAACTGGTTTATTGATTTTTTTGACTACATATTTGTTATTTAACCACATAGTATTATATGTTGGTATGTCTTGGGAGATATGTAATATTAGTTTCCTGCTAAACAATTTGAATTTTGGGCTGGGGATTTAGCTCAGCGGTTCCACCCCCTGCCTTGCAAGAAGCGTAAGGATCCGAGTTCAATCCCTGGTACCAAAAAAATAAAAAGCAAAATAAACAATTTGAATTTTGACACTCTTGTTTCATATTTCCTTTTTTATTTTAAAAATTTAAATAGATACAATATTTATACTTATTTATCCAGCACAGTATTATAATTTGATGCATGTATATGATGTACTGTGATTGAATCAGGGTAGCCAGCATTTCTGTGAAGAACATATTATCATTTCTATGAGAAATGCTTCTCCGCTAGGTATTTTGAAATGTGCGGTTCATCACTGCAGAGCTGAGGAACACGAGAATGGCTCCTCCTGGGTTAGCTGCCCCTTGGACCCCTTATGCAGCCTTTATCCCCTGCTTTCCCCCTTCCTGTCCGCCAGCCCTCCCTACCCCGCTCTCTCCTTCCATGTGGCTGACTTCTTTAGCTTCTACAAATCAGTGGGGACAAGTGGCTTTCATCTCCCTGTGCCTGGCTGAATAGCATAATGTGTCTTCCTTAGTGCCATGTGTGTGGCTTCAAATGACAGGATTTCATCCTTTTAGGGCTGCATAATTATTCTGTTGTATGTTAGTAGAGTATTATTCAAACACAGGCACACACATACGGACATATATGTACATGTTTTGTCTTTATTATTCAACCTCTGATGAACACCTTGGCAGATTCCTCATACATCTTGGCTACTGTGAGTGGTACTGCAGTAGATACGGGGTGCAAAAGTCTCCTGGACACAATGACTCTGCTTCCTTTGGACACATACATAGTGGTACTGCTGCATCATTTGATCATCCTGAATGGACCCTCTTACAATTAGGATATTAAAGCTGAGCCTCATTTCCAACTTCATACTGTTGTCCCGTGCTGGGAGAGAACCTGGCATCCCAGGCCCAGTGCTGAGAAGGTTTGGACACTATCAGACTTTCAGCCCACCAAGGTCAAAGGTAGCCCACAGCCTGCCTGAATGCTGCATGTGCCCAGTGCCTGGTGTGGGTTCCGTCCCTTCTATGTGTTGAATCTCTACTGTGGGTTTGAGGCAAGAGGACAAGCTGCCCTCCCAATTTGGCCAGGTTGTAAATAAATTCTTTTTTCCTGTTTCTCATTTTTCTTTTACAGTGGATGACGGGCCAGAAATTAAATCTGGTAGGGCCCATATTCAAACCTCCTTTGGGGCCCGGTTATGATTCTTCTGTTATGTGAGGAGCTAGAATGTTTCCCATCATGATTGTACTGAGTTGGCTTCCTGAGAGCTGAGTAGAAGTTTCCCCTGCTACCTCCTTACCAACATTTGTCATTTTTGTCTTTTTGAGAATAGCCATTCTGACTGGTTTACAGTACGTTTCTCGGATGATTAGTCATGTTGAGCGTTTTTTCATATAATTGTTGGTCATATCTTTTAGGAAATGTGTATTCAGAGTATTTTTCCATTTTGGTAGGATTATTTTTGTTGTCGCTGTTCTTTGTCCCATTCCTAGTGATTCTTTCCTTTGTTGTGCAGAAGCTTCTAGTCTGATATCATCCTATTTGTCTGGTTTTGCTTTTGGTTCTTATCTGAAAACTCTTCATCTACCCTGATGTCCTGAAGTATTTCCCCTCTGGTTTCTTCTAGTAGTTTCCTGATTTCAGCAATACTGACATATTTTGTTCTTTATAGCACTCTTAACCATTAGGTAGACTGAGCATAAATGCTTAAATAATATGAATAATTTTACTTGACATCCTGATCTGCTACTTGGGAAATATTTAAGTACTTCTTAATTTACAATGTTGACTTTTAGGTAGCAACTTATTCTAACTACTCTTAGGTTAAACTCTGACACTAGTTAGTTGGAAATTGTTATTTATGAAATTATCTAAGAATGTGACATAAGTAGGGGTTTGTGACACAAAAGAAGGAAGAGGAAAGAGACAGCGTTCTCTCCCACTTCACCCCTGCACATGCTCGACCATCATGAAAGGTAGGGTCTGAAGCGTTCCAGAGTCTGGGGACACAGCCTTCCTTCTTGTGGCCCAGCTCCAGTCTAAGCTGTGCAAGGAGATGCAGGGAAGGACAGGCTCTTTGCATAACATAGACCCAGGTTGAGGAACATCCTGTAAGTGGATTGCATAATAGTTACATTCTAAAGTAGAGGGTGGCGACAGGATGTGTGCTTGACATTCTTCAATTAAAATTTTTTTTTTTGTACTGGGGATTAAACTCAGGACCTTGCACTTGCCAGGCAGGTGCAGTGCCACTGAGCTAAATCCCCAATTTTAACTATTTTTACTACATTTCCAAGTTCATAATAACACCGAGCATCTTTTCATTTCAAGATGTTTTGTGAGGCTCACATTTATGAAATTTTATAAGATAATTTTATTATCTGATTATAAAAGGATATCATAAAACCAAGTCTTGCAGTTATATCAAAATATTCAGAAACTGATGTATAATATTTTTATTTTAATACAATTATTGTGGTGCATGTGGTTATTCCATGTGGAATCTTGCATCTAATACAATTTATCATGTCATGAGCAGGGCTAGATCATCAAGTGATCCCTTTATAAATGAGGTAAAGGAATGATGGAAAGATTATCCATAGAGATGGTACCATGATTAGAAAATGGTGAAGAAGAAGTATGTTTTCCAAAACAACCAAAAATATATTCTGAGGCTTTGCGGGGTGAGGAGAAAACAGAAAGCTCATTAATAAACTCTGAAAATCTGCTAATCCTAATGCTGCAATAAAGGCAATAATTTTAGTTTCATATTTAATAGCTGGCATATGTTAAAGTGCTCTCTGTGGACATGTTTAAAAATACATGGTGTTACTGGCTATCATTTCACTACATGGTATACAACCTGATTTCTCATAATTTACACATTCTGACTCTCGCAAATCCAGATTAATAATAACAACCTTGGGGGTGTGAAAGCTCAATGCAGGAAGCACCTGCAGAACAGGGCTAGTTTCTGTAGGGAAGTGAAACCATTTCTTACAAATTTAATGAAAGGAACTCAGGATGATGTTTTATATTCATTAAAGCACAAAATTCTTACCTAGAGCTTTCATACACCAGACGTTCTTATCCCAAAGGGCCAGCCGTGCTCGAATGTACTTAGCATGTGATACAAACTCAGCCTCCACGGTTTCACCAACTACTTCATCTTTCAGAAAAATGAATATCTCACCAGGATTCTATAAAGTGAAGATGGAACCCAATTCAGAACTTGAAACAGTTTGCCTTCACCAAAGAACTCTATGAATTATAAAGGTCATATGCTATCATTGAATGTCTCTTACCCTGTTATATTTTCAGCCACATACAGAAATGCAATATGCAAATGTGATTCTCACTACATTGTAAATGTATCAATCTGGTGTTTATGGAGTGTTTCCCTCCAACACCATATTTGGCAGGGAACAGTGGTGAGAATTGAGCATGCCTTTTCCTCTCGCCTCTCCCTGCTCATGGCCCTGTGGCAGGTTGGAGCATCCATCCATGGACCAGCAAAGGCATAAAATGCAACTGCTCATGAAGTCTTTCTCTCCATCTGCCTTGAGCTTGAGTTTCTTATCTATCAATGAGTTGCTGAGACTGCTTATCATTCAAGCATAATGATGTATATATATATATATATTTTTTGGTACCGGGGATCGAACTCGGGACCTTGCACTTGCGAGGCAGGCACCGGAACCACTGAGCTAAATCCCCGGCCCAATAATGATATTTTTAATGTCCCATAGTTTTTAATGTAGTAGCAGCCCTTGGATTGCTTTTTATTCTTTATAAGTAAATCTGAAGGTTTTTGAAATGACTGAAGCTTACAAATCCATAAGATTCAAGATTTAACTAAGTTGAAAAAGCTAAATTTATAGACATAGGTCAGTGTGTTTTTGAAGAACTCTTTTGGGGAAGACACTAGAAATGAGCAGAGTTGATGCAGAGAAAAGAGAAGAAGAAACATTTATTGGGTGTCTCTACTACACTGGGAATTATAGTAAGCACTTTCTACACAAACATTTTTTCCTTCCATCCTAACTGAAATACACTCACCCCAAAACAAACATGGGCAACATATTTATTTTTTTCTTTTAGCAACAGAGCAACGATCACTTTTAATTACATTCTGGAGATAATCAGAACCATTCACTTCTAAATCTATGCTACTCTACATCAAGCTAGCCCTTCAGAAAAAGGAAATAATTCTTTTTCTTTGTTATCTGCAATATCACTTTCAAAGGCTTTCTTCAAAGTCCTACTAAATTTCACTCTCACATCAAATAAACAGGAACCCCATTTATATCCGCTCATAAAGTCACATTTACCAAAAATCATTCATTTCAGAATGCTCTTACTTAAATGTTAATCTCCCTAAGCATAATTCACAAACCAATAAAACTTTCATCCTAATGCTTGTACCAAAGAGTTTCTACAAATAAGACATCAGTGGTACCAAATAATTGCAGCTGATTCACCCATCTACTTCGGGCATTTTTTGTAAGAGTCAGGCTCCCAAACATTTGCCCATAGGCTACTGTTGAACCAAATCCTCCCCCGACCCGGCCCCACTAAACTGCATTTAGAGAAAACATCCTATTCAGAGAACTCCCTGGATCCCCTGTCATTCTCGCCCTCCACGGAAACCTGCTGAAGGTGGGGAGCCTGTCCTTCCTGGGGTCTTCAGTGCCTTCAGCCCCTCTTGTATTCACCCAACCTTGAATCCTCAGTCCCACTCACTTTGCCTCATTCCTCAAGAGCCTCTAGCCAGTTCTTCCTTGCATGAGCCCCTCCAGGCTTGACTCTGACTTTGACCTTTCCGAAGTTGGCCAGCACAGATGTCCTCTGCAAATGTTTTATTCACGTTGCCAACTCATTCTCATTCATGACAGTCCATACCAGCTACTTCTCATGCATCAGATTCCCTCCTTAATAGAGGGCAGGATGCCACCTTTCAACTATTTCCAGAGAAAAATTCTAAACAAGAGACAAGCATCCTGACCACCCCAAATGGGGCCCGCACCTCTTCATTTGCACCCAGGGCCGGCTTGTTGGGCTGTGACCTGTGCCCTCACACGGGGACTCTGCTCTTGGCTTAATGCTTGCTTGTCACTGCCTTGAAATGCTTAATAATTTGAACAAAGGACCTTGAGTTTTCATTCTGTACTGCAAATTAGCTAGCTGGCCTGTTTATGCACGGCATTGCCCTGCTAGTTAGCTGCTTTTCCTGTTCTCTCCCCAGACTTCCATTGCTCTTTGAGGCCCAACTCAGGTTTCACCACCTCTGTCCAACCCACCTGGAACTTCAACCCTCCAGGAGTTCAGAATTCTGAGGGGATTCTAGAGCAATTCACACCCACTCCCCTTAGTGGAGCCCTGCTTGGTCACACCCTCTACTTTTCTAGCTCCTCCTGTCTGTTGTCTTGGCTTCCCGGCTAGATTTTACACATCACGAGGGGGTTTTTATTTTCTTACTTTGTGGTGGCATCTTGTAAATGTTATACACCTAAGAGACATTCTGTGTCTATGTATTTTGGATGTGATATTTTCACAAGGAGCATGCTCTGCTTTATCCACACCCTGCAATGCCTGGAGTCAGCAGCCTGCTCAGAGGGAAGCCCTGCCATGGTCCTGTGGGTGAATTCAACTCACTGGAGGAAATACCAGGATGCCGGCGTTTTGTCAGCCATGAGGCTGCTGTCTGACTCTCAGTCTTTTGATGCCTCTTCGTGGCCCTTATTTGGGCCTGAAAAATCAGAGAGAGTGGGTTATGGTAATGGTCACTTCCAAATTCTAATGTTTTCTTACACTGGTCTTGAGTGTGGAGGCCCAAGGAACAGAGCTGAAAGCTGGTGCACAATGGAACAGGTCGGCGGTGAAGTCTGGTCCTGCCAATTTAGTTGTCTTCAGCCTTTAAGATTCCATAAGCACAGGTGGGAGGAGACTTTGGTCCAGGTGACCTCAGGAGCTTGTCGTGGGCTTTGGCAGAGACCAGCAGCTCCTTCCATGAATCACATTCTGGTCAAGGAGTCAGGGCCGTGCAGGTCTCTGGTGGGCATCCATCTTGCTCAGGACACCAGAGCAGGAATTTGCTTGTGACAATGGCTCCTAATTTGGCTGATAATTCTCATTTTCAGAGTCACTTGGAAAGCTCTGAAAACTCTTTGTCCAGCATGTAACAGATCATTTATTTCTACATCTCTGAAGGTAAGAAAATTTTTTTGAAATTCTCTGTGTAGTCTCTAATGGTCCCCTAGTAATTTGAGAACCAATCAGTTTGTTATAGGAAAAAGATGTCTTTTAGCTGCCCTACATCCCAGCTCCAGATGGGTGACATTTCACAGAATGGACATTTCAGGCCTTCAGGCATACAATCATCTTCTACTCTGTTGATCGAGGTTTTAAAATTAAATCATAGATTGGGCTTTAAGGTAAGGCTGGTCACAAAGAATTGGCTTGTGATTTAAGGTCAGAAGCGATGGTCAGTGCTCGTAGCTCCTGTTTAGTGTTTTAAATTGAATTGGGGGCCACTGGTAAGAGGTAATCTGTGAGATTCTGAGGTGCCCAAGAGGCATGTCCTTCCCTGATGTCTGGAAGTCTCTAGATCTGCTGGTTCTGAAGTCGGTGCTTGGTCCCACAGTGGTGGAGACTCAGGGTCCTTTCAGACACAGGTGTGTGAGTGAGCAGGTCACAAAATGTGGCCTTTATTAGAGAATTCGCCATGCTCTGGGATCCAGATAGGAAACTATTGAATGAAATTAATACAGATCCAATGGTGATAAAGGCACTTAAATGGTCTTTGGGGTTGCACTGTATCTTTAAGAACTGCATTTGTTTAAGAAATCAATGTGTGAGGGCTGGGGATTTAGCTCAGTGGTTCCACCGCCTGCCTTGAAAGTGCAAGGTCCTGAGTTTGATCCCCAGTACCAAAAAAAAAAAAAAAAGAAATCAATGTGTGAACTGGTTTTACAGTCTCATCCCCAGGACCTCAGGGGAGCTGCACCAGGAGGATAAAAATAAAAAGAAGACTGTGACTTGATTGTACTGAAGGAAGGGAGAGATTTGGCGGCAGAAGAGCTGAGGCTGCAGCAGGCAGTTTCTTCCAAGAAGAAGGGGAGAGGGCATGGGGCTTACAGAGACTAGGAGAGGTGAGGACTCAGGGACAGACCCTGGCATGTTGGGAGGGGCTCCCATGGGGCACACATTTGGAGGACCCCTCTAAACCTGTGGGTAAAATTCATACAGGGAGGGACTGAGCCAGGCAGGGAGGTGCACATCTGGCATTCTGGCACTATGGAACCCCGAGGCAAGAGGGTTACAAATTCCAGCCCAGCTTGGGTAAATTGGCGACTCAGTGAGATCTTGTCTCAAAAAATGTAAAAGGGCTGGGAATGTTGTTCCGGGTGAAGGCCTTGGGTTCAATCCCCAGTATAGCAATAACAATAATAAGAAAAAATAAAAAAGAGTGACTGGAAGCACCTCTTCAGGGTTAGGCGGCTGTAGTGAGTGACTACTGGACAGCTGGGAAGCTTGCAGAGAAACCGTGGAGAGAGACACTGAACTCCTGATGGCTGTGTGTGGCAGATCCAAGGGTGACGCCCATGTGTGGGCCGTTCCTGCGCTCGGGGGCAGGATGGAGCCTCAGGTTAGCAGTGACCACGGGCCTGGCCACAGCCTCTGTCCTGGCACCACAGATCTGGGGCTTCTGCCCACTAGATGCAGCAAGAGTCTTCCAGCCAAGACAACTGCAAATGCCAGCGGAGTCACCCAAGTCCCCCTCATAGAAGGAGGGAAAAATCCACCTCCCCAGAGTTGGGAAAATCAAGAAGGCAGGGAATCCTTGAGGTATGCATGGCATCATGACTCCAGGAGAGGAGAAACCATCAAGGCCCAGGACAGCCCATGTTGGGGTTAGGTGTGCTTCCTTGGAAAAGCGCCTGCCACAGGCAGGATCCTCCCTGAGGAGACCATCCCTAAGTCTTTTGAGCAATGGACTCAGTTGGCAGACTGGGACTCATGCACTTCATTGCCGAATCTGTTACCCTTCAGGCAAAACCAAGAGGAAAATGCTAGAAAAACTAACGTCCTGGACAAGAAACAGCACACATTTAAAAAAGTATAAAATACCCCAAAGTGCGTCAATCCTACAGAAAGTGAAAAAAGAGACTAAATGAAGACGCAGATTGACAAGGAATGACTTACAGAAACAGAACTCTGCAGCAGACCTTCATGTGCACATAGAAAACAAGTTGAAGAGAAAAATATATATATATTTTTTGCTGTTTTAAAAAGTGGCACCAGATTTTCAAGTCCTAAGAAATGGAAAATCTGTGGAAAGGAAGAGCTCAGGGGAAAAACAAGGCAGAGACTGATTTCACCCAGCTCCTGCCCACATGCAGCAAGAGCGTCACACACTGCCTGGGTTGGCGACCAACCGAGGCAGCTTTCCGGGAACAGGCAGGGAGGTGAAGGGAGGTCCACAGGCCAGCAATTTCGCAGTAGAGGCAGTGTAGGAGGGACCCCACCCCCAGAGGATGGATATTATGCCCAACTCATGCTAGAGATAGAAAGACCAGGGGGAATGAACAGGCTGTAAAGATGCCAGGTGGAAAGGAGGCCCATTCCAGGTCAGCCCAGGCTGCGGGCAGAAACAGCACTGTATATTTCTGGCAGGGAACCTTGAACTGTCCCTTCTCAAGCACAGAACCTCTGTCTACTGATAACTGGAAGACTCCTCAGAAGTGAAGTGAAGATCAAAGTGTGCTTTGGAACAATCAGCAGACACTGAACATTCCCAGTGCAGAATTGGAACAGGACTTTTGCTCAGCTGGATGCAAATGGTCTTATGGTACCTGGCAACCATCACCAGGACTTCAATCATACTAAGAGCTATGTAAGGAGCATGTGAGACTGTGCTGGGATAACTGTTCTTGGCCCAAAGGATTAGCTTATTTTGAAGTTTTAGGGAATGGGATTGGTATTAAAATGATCTTATGTGACCTTCCAGCTCTTAGAATATTTTAGAGTGAGGTACCCAAGAGAGATGTGATATTGAAATCATTTACCCTCAGAAGATCTGAAAGAATTTCATCCATGCCAGTAGAAAAAAGTCTATGGTTGAGCTATTGAAAGAACCTCTATCCTAACTGGCCACTGGGACAGCATAACTTCTCCTAGAAGAAGTGAGACTTGATTTTGGAACTTGGTTTCTTTTCAACTTTAACAACAGAGTGAGTTTTACAGTGTGCACATTTTATGGTTGCAGATTGTTTTTTTGGTACCAGGGATTGAACTCGGATCCTTCTGCTTGCAAGGCAGGTGGCAGAACCACTGAGCTAAATCCCCAGTCAATTGCAGATATTTTTTTAAAGCATCTATTAAGACTCACTGTATAACTCTGGTGAGCTATTTTTAGCTTCAGAGTTTTTGTTTGTTTGTTTGTTTTCTTTGATTTCATCTATTGGGGAGCAGCTCACATTTCTCTTTGTTACACTTCTTATATCTCCCCTTTTTTCTGACTTAGTAGGAGCCCTCAGCTTGGGTTGTGTAGCTCAGTTCCCTCTGTAAGTTTGTGAGTCTCTTAAATGTGTTGTGATTTTTTCCAGGACTGCGAAGGTAGTGTTGAAGCAGTTTGCCTTCCTCTGGAATGGATGGCACGGTATCTTAGTACAGTGCTTCTCCTGCTCAGGCATATGTGTTTGGGAAAGGGAGAGAATCAAACTGCTCCAGCTCTGCAGAGCGCCGAGCTCCCCCCACCACAAGATCAGGGAACCCACCGGAACCCATCAGTGAGCCCCAGCCATCAGGGAATGAGGATTCACTGGCTGCCACCAGACAGACCCTTAGGTGGCCTTGTATGATTCTTCTGGATCTTTGGCTTTTTCTGCTCAAGGTCACCATAGACATTGAGGACTCAGCTTTTGGTTGTCAGATCACCTTGCCAGACAGCCAGGCCAAGCTCTACCTAGGGACCATTTTGGTGGCTCATTCTCAGGGAGATTTAGCAGGAAGATCTGTCAGGAATTTATTTCCATATGGTCATCTTAGAAATCTTTCCCCAGTCTTGTATGACTATTCCCTGAAGGGTCAGCTCTCATAGGGTTAAGATAGTTCCACTTAATAATGTCAGTTAATTTTCTCATTGCTGAGACAAAATACCTGGAACCTAAAGGAGGCACTTTAAAGGAGGAAAGTTTTATTTCAGTTTACAGTTTGTAGAGGTTTCAGTCCATAGTTGGCAAGCTCCAAGGCAGGGCAGCATGGTGGAGGGGCATTGCAGAAGAGAAACAGTCCATAGCATGGTAGGCAGAAGGCAGCATGCAGCAAGCATTAAGCCTGCCTTCTTTCTGTCCCTTTGTATTCCATTCAGGCTTCAAGCCTATTGATTGATGCCACCCATGCCCTGGGTGGGCTTCCCATTAACCACACTGAGAATTATGCTAATTCCAGTCAGTGGACTAATTTAGTACCACACACCTTAAGCCCAGTACCATGCACCCTAGGTCCAGGCAGCTCTGAAAAGTGCCTCCTATGAGTGCATGAGGCTTTGTGAGGACATCTAGATACAACCCACAACATTAGTCTTTAAAATATGTTTATAATCGAGAACCTGGTTGAACAAAAAAAAAAATTTAAAATTCTATTCAAGGATATATTTCCCTTGAGGAAAATAAAATACTTCAGTCTGTTTAATATGAATCCAACTTTCTTTTAAATACCTGGATTTGTATAGATAGCAATTAGATATCTGTTTGCAAAATGTCAAGTAACACTTGATAAAATTAAGTTTTGTATATTCTCCAATATCCAATCAGCCAACAAATATTTATGAAATGCCAACTAATTGCCAGATACTCTTGTAGGTTTACAGCAACATAGCATGAACAAAGTAGACTAAGATGCCAGGTATTTTATAGTTGACATTCTAGTGAATAACAGGGCCACTTATATAACAAGACAGCAGACAGTGTTACTGACCTCACAAGGAACTTCAGCAGGAAGCACCATGGCCAGGGATACAGCACTTCTGGAGGTTCCAGATGAGCCTTCAGTTTTGTTTTTCTCTTTCATTTCCTCAGGATTGTTCACTCTTTGTTCTGCTGGAACGCTGACCTCAAGGTAGGCTTCAGAATCTAGAGGACATTTGGTGAATACAGATTACAATATATTATTTCCTCCACTATTATAAAGGCTAATTGCTGACCAATAGTTTTTATAAATGGATGGATGACTGCACAGACCTTAGGATAGCTGTCATAATTAAACATGTTAATAGTTAAGATGCTGTGTCTTAATTTAGCTAGATTATAACCTTTGTGACTAAACTACAGCAACTATTATATCATCTATTAGTATTCATGTATTATAAAGTATTTTAGAATAATTCCAGTCATCACTTATATTTTCTCTTTAAAACTTCTTTTATTAGTACACAATTGACATACATAATGATCACATACCATCATGGGGAATTTGTACCTGTACATAATATATCTTAATTCTTTTATTCTTAATATATCTTAATTCTTTTTTTCCCATTCCCCTCCCCTTCTTTCAACTCTTCTTCCCCTACCCATTTACAAAAGCTTTGTTTCCAGTTTTTCCTTCCAGTCGTTTTTGTTAATCCCTTTTCATTCCCCTTCTCCCCTCCCTTGTTCCCCTTCCCATTTGAACAACTTCTTCCCACTTCCTAATATCTGTCTTCCATTTTGTTCCTTATTTACCAGCATCATACCATAGTGCTATGCATGTTTATAGTAGCACAATTTATAACAGCTGAATCTATTAACTATTAGCCATTAGAAACAGCCCAGATGCCTATTAACAGATGAATGAATAAAGAAAATAAAGAAAATGTGACATATATATATATATATATATACACACACACACACACAATGGAGCACTACTCTTCCATAAAAAGGATAAACTTGAGACATTTTTAGGTAAATGAATGCATATTGAGACCATAGTTTCAGGTGAAATCAATCAGACACACAAGTTTAAATATCACATTGTTTCTCTTATGTGGGAAACACAAAGGGTAAATAGGGAACAAAATGGGGGATAAATATTGGGAAGTAGAAAGAACTTGTATATTTTCTCTTAATATTGGAATAATAAATCTGTAACACATTAGACTACTTTTCTATGATAGTTACAAAGAAAAATTATCCTATTTTTAGTTTTCTGTTTTGTCAGTATATGTTTATGATACATAATAATTGCATTTGCCTCAGGGAATTGGTACATATACATATCTCATCTCGATGATTTTCACTTCCCCTCCCCTTGCCACCCTCCCATCTACTCCATCCCCAGATCTCCTTCCTAAGTCAGAAAAATTTGCATAAGAATTATTATTACATTTTACATATACTTCTAAGTTTTATAAGAATGACTATGGGACAAACCGGTATCTCTATGAAATATTAGTTTAACAGTTTAACAGTGAAAGTATTAGTTTAATAGTGAAATACTAGTGTTCATCAAAATATTAATGTGTTCTATGAAAATATTTTTTCTCTATCAATTAACTTGGATTTCTTTATAATATTATAACCAAGAGCACTGCAATATACTAGTGTATTTTGAATCTTAAAGAAGGGTAGAGTATCTTGCTGTTTTTTAAACATTTAATAATTTAACACTTAGTGTCAAGCATTAAAACATTGTTCACTATTGAACAATGGACAATTTTTTATTACTCAATGTCTCAAAGCCCAAAATACTTCATTAGGGCTGGGAACCAGGGTGGCTAAAATCAAGACTCACCAAGAGAAGGTGGTGCATATAAACTCTCTGGCTAACCCTGAAGTGTCCCCAACCCCCCAAAGAGGGGACTTGTGGAGAACTGCAGAGGGGAAGGCAGCCCCAGAGCCAGCGCCTGGTGGTAAGGAAGGTGCCCTGGGCCCCCCGAGCCAGCCTGGCACTGCACCCACACTGCCACATAGCAGCACCAGATGGCCACTGTCACCACAATGGATGCAGCCTTGGACTCTTATTTCTCTTCTTGCAGAGATCATGTAGCCTCTCCGCCCGGTTTCCAGGATATTCCTGGCTTGGGAACTGGAAGTCACTCGGTCTCAAGAAAACCGAAACAGCCGAGGCTCCTTCTGGGTGGAGTCATGAATAACCCATCACCACACAGAATCATGAAATACCCCTGCTACCAGACAGCAAGCGAGCTACTGCCAAACCATGTTTTCTAGAGTGCTCCCTCAACTGACATAGCCCCAGCCTAAATGCTATCATCTTTCTAATGCTCCTCTACAGACACCCCCTGGTCCTCCTGGAATGCCTTCTCTGCACTGCAACACACAGAAAATCCAGGTGGTTCAAATGCAGATCTGTTCCTGGCAGGCTTTGGCTGAAGGGCACTGAAAGAATAAGAGGAAGAAGAGCCCAGACAGTGCAGCCAGAGGGAGCTAGAACATGGGTCTCCTTGTGCCCAGACGAGGGGTGGCACCGATATCCACAGCCAGGGCCCCAGAGAAGCAGAATGAGGGCGGGTAGCAGGTGCAGAGTCTCGCTTGGCATGCACCATGCCCTGGGCTCTGATCCCAGTGCAGGAAAAGAAAACAACACAGACAAAGCAAACGAAAGAGAGCAACAGGAGATGCATGCTCATTAGGACTGTAGGAGAGGGCTGTTGTTGTTGGTGGTGGTGGTGTTTTGTTTTTGCTTTGTTTCTGTCTTATGAAAGTTGCAGAGATAAAGCACAAAACTCCTAGGATTCCCAGATCTCGTCCAGTGCTGGTCTTACTTGAAAAGAGATGAGAATCAGCTTTTATTTCTCTATGAATTTAAAGCACTTTGCTAAGCAGTCTCACTCCCCCCGTTTCTCTCTCTCCTTCCTTACTGCACGAACAAAAGTGAGAGGATGTATAAAACCAGTTTAATCATTTTATGGATTGATAAAGAACAGGAACTGATTTTATTTATTATATTTTAAAGCAAAGAGAGGTAAGTAATTCTCCCATAGCAACACCTAAGATTTTCTGCTAATTCTTCTGTAGTAGTAGGTTAGGAAGAGCTATTTTTTTATTTACCCCGGGGACATAATTATGAATATATGGAAAGGTTTATTTCTATGAAGGTGCACAGAAGAGCTGTTTATAATCCAGAAAATTGGAAGCAATCTAAGTAATAATGGAAAAGATAAAAATATGCAATATAACAGATGTCAGTAATAAAAATTCTATCACAGACTATTTAACAGCAAGTTTATAATACAACTGAAAGATAAGCAAGTTACAAAATTGTCAGTTTAATAGGTTCCTGTTTTAATAAAATAAGCATACATATGCAGAACTATGTGGAAGAAATTCAAGACATACTCTTGGATGAGAATAGATTAGCTATGTGTATACCCAAAATGCCAAGAGTGGCTATTTCTAGTTGATGGATTATAGGTAATTTATTATATATGTATATAAAATAATAAGAACACCTAATCATACAGTATATGTAATATATGTCCTTATTTTTCTAGAAAGAAAATTCATTTTACAGAATAAACTATGTATATTTTTTCAAGTAGAGGAATAAATGACCAAGAGTGCAGATTAAACACATGTATCTATTTCTCTCTACAACATGTAAATGAAATAATAGAAAAGATAATTTTAAAACTGACTTTATTTGAGCATCAGAAATTGATAAATGGTATAATCCCATTATAAAACCTTTGAGGAATTCTTCAAAATCGAACTTAATCTGCAAATAAAGATACCAGGGGAGAGAAAACAGGGCCTAAATCATGTTTGGAAAACACAATTTCAAATGTAAGATAGCTTTCTAAAACTAATTTATTTCCAAAACTGAAGAGACTTCAAACTCAAAACCCAAAGAGCAGAGAGATTCTGAGATGAAGGTCATGGTCATAAGTTGACATCTCATCTATAACATTTGTCATGACCAGACGCCCAGCTGTCCCTACTCCTGAGAGAGAGAAGAAATATGCCTTCGCCTTGAGAAGTGAGCTCTAGACAAATGCACAGCAGGGCCTGTATTAGGCCACAGAGTGGGGCCTGACACAGTCAGAGAGAAAGGAACATGGTAAAGAATCAACTGACAGAGATTCTCAATTAAAGACATAAACTGTCACCCAAGACAACCACTTTCTTGAAATATAGTCTATCACATGAATGACAGGCACCAAAATCAACAAATAGAAAACTTGACGTTGAAAAAATTGCTTATGTGGTCAAACTTCTCAGGAAAAACTTTGTGTCTGTTAGTCAGCATTCTGTCACTGTGGCAAAATATCTGAGGTAACTGGAAAAGACAGAGGTTCATTTTGGCTCAGTGTCTGAGGGCTCAGTCCTGGTCACTTGGCCCCATTGCCTTGGGCCTGTGGTGGGGCAGAGCATCATGGCAGGGAGTGTGTGGTGGAGGAGGCTGCTTACCTCATGATGGCCAGGAAGCAAAGAGAGAGATAAAGGAAGGGATGGGGGCTCCCAATATGCCCTTCAAGGACGCATTATAATGACAGCCCACAAGTCCTACCCCCTCCTAAGAGCACCACAGGCTGGCAATGAAGCCTGCAGCTCAGAGATTGTTCCATTATGTTCTTCAGAGTGGGGTACTGGCTACCATGATGCCATAGGAGGAGAACAATACAAGAGGAGGAAGTATGGGATTTGGTGTATTTGGGATGGAGGTAGAGGGAGGCACTGGAGTGGAATCTACCTACACACGCTCACTGCCTGTTATAGTTTAGATGTAAAACATCCCCCAAAAGTCTCTGTGTCCAGAGGTGGGACTTCCAGAAGGTGACTGGATCATGGGCCACTGTACTCATCCGTTGATCTATCCATTGATGAGTTCATGGCTGTTGTGCTGCTAGGAGTGGCTCTGGGTGGAGGTGGGGATATGATCTGGCAGGAAGTGTTCTTGTCCCCAGCTCCTTCCTTCTCTCTGCTTCCTGGATGCCATGGGTTGAGCAGCTTCCCATCACCACACACTTCCACTTTGCTGCTCCTGCCTTGGAGCAGATGAATGATGCATGGACTGAATCCTTTCAAACAGTGAGCCAAAATAAACCTCTCCTCTGTTAAGTTGTAGATGTCAAGTTCTGTCCTAGAGACAGGAATGTGACTAAGACCCAAAGCCCAACACACACGCTGCT